CAAATTTAGCGTTTCTGCGCTCTCGGTTATCACCTACAGCCTCATGAAAATTTTGGTGAGTAAACTATTAAGTCGGGATAAAGATATTCACCGTTCAAGGTTTCGAATTCAGCTTTCATGCGCTGGTGTGTGAAATTTTTAACTGTTTTCTAATGTTTGAACTGTTTTTGCATAGACTTAAGTACAAAGCAGTGAAAATTATTAATGGGCAATCGTTCGATGGGCTGAATTGCACAAAACGCATGACCGCATCGGCTAGGCTGGTGCGCTTTGCTACTTATTTTTCATTCCAAACTTCGGTCGTAATAAACGTTTTTTTTTTAATTTTCTTCTGTGGACGGGGGGGCTGGGGAATGAAAGGAGCGAGAGATTCACCCATATGTGGCGGTGTTCTTTATTGCGGTTTCTGGCTTGTCCTTCATTTGGCAGGGGCTGGTCGGCTTGAGCTGTTCTGGGCTAATAAATGTGATTTGCAGGTTATGTGGTATCGACTGAGCACTGAGGAACGCGTCAAGTTGCTGGCCGCTGAAAACAGCGTGATTAGCAACACGGCCTTGCTGCTCAACTCCGCAATAACAGTACCTCCTATTGATATGCCACTGAAATACAGCAGTGTGCAGACAGCGGCTAAGTTGGGTTGGCCTGGTGCTGCACTCGCTTGGCTCGGGATGTATGATAACAGATTGAAAAATGGCATTTACTGCACAAGAGCCGTCGCCGGAGTTGCGGTTGTGAGGGACGAGATGCGTTTTTTGGACTATCCGCCTGGCAGTGACGAAGGTTTCGTCGCTTTGCGTGCTCTGTTTTATGGGCACTTCCATATGCTGCGTTATTTTTCTGTTGCGCAGATCCCCCATTCGTTTGTAACTCTGTTTCCTGATGGCCGAGTACCATTGCATTTTCTTCATATTCTTTCCCAGGCTCCTACTTTGGAATGTCGACGTAATAGACTGCTTTGCAGTCAACTGCAACATGTAGCAAGTGAGTTGCTGCACTGGCTGCCACGCATCAACGCTGATCTCTTACGGTATAAGGCCAGTGAGATACAGGATGTTGAACTTGCTCGTTTCATCGACTGCTGCGCAAAACATTCGTGCGACAGTTCGGCCGAATGCACTGACTATAAGAGCATTGATAGAACTTATCCGTGAATGATGAATTTATGATGTGTTTCACTGAACCACTTAGATCTTTCATTCAAGCATAGTAACAATGATATTGATATAATGAGCTCAAGACGACTGATCAGGCCAGAGAGAACCCGCATTCT